CCTCAGGGAAGACCACTTAAAATTCCAAATTGCTGAATGTTTTGGGCATCCATACCTTGAGCCACACCCGCTCTTCTCCTGTGTGAAACAGAATATCTAGAACTCAGAACTGGTAAAACCAAGGTGGATTTCTTTCTTGGTAAGCTGAGAGAGTTGAATACTCATACCATCAACGTCTGTGAAGTTGACTTCCAGTAGCTGATACTGCAGAATGTTTAGAAGGTTAAATATGACTGCTTTTTTAGGGGAAAAAAAGAAATATAGCAAAGGACAAACTCTTTCAGGCCATTTGTTCTGGAGCAAGAACTCACATGAGTTACAGCTTTCATATTTTAGTTCATGATAATAAGTTTAAAAGTGGCTGTGTTTGCCTCACAGTAGATGCATTTACATAATGTAATTGGGATGATGTTTCCATAGGCATTTTGTTATTGCAAGAGCTCTTTCTAGGTGTTTTATAGGCATGGCCTTATATCTGTGTTTTGGTTCAAAGTAATGCATTTATCTTGTGAAGGCTAAGAGAAAGAATCTGATGAGCTGGACTCATAGTTAAGCCCTTGAAACACCCTAACTCCAATACATTTTATGATATGTCTGAATTTTTCTATTCAAATTTAACTGTTCCAAACAAAATAACTGCACAAACATTATTTCCAGCTTATAGTAGCAAAGAGAGAGATGAGTCCAGAAAGATTTAAAACGGAGTTTTCTATCTATTTCATTTTGCTATTCTTGAATTTAGGCTTTGTGCTGACAAAAGTGAGAGAAAAGCTTACTCAATTAGTACCTTCCTCAGCAGCTCAGGAGGAATGTTATCTCTTCCTTATAAGCAAATCAGGGAGAGAAGCCAACTGGTTCAGAGGTAGGACTTGACATCAACGTAAACAGCAATCACAGATTAACAGTGCATTTTGCAACACCTGCTTTATTTCTTCCAGTTCTGCCTTCTGAGGTGAATCAATTATGAGAACTATTTCATTTAACTTGAGCAACAGAATAAAGAAAAGTGAATTTCTGGTCCTGCAGGCTGTAAGGAAGTGTTTGAAAATGTAGCCCATAGCAGGATGAAGTCGTCCAGTTACTGGCAGGGTTAATAACCCATGTCCCTTTCCTCCCCTGCCAGGAAGGCAGCTCCTTCGTACTCCTGTAACTCTCCCTTTTCTCAGAAATGTCCTGGTTGCCTTCCATGTCCGTTTGGTCCTCCCCCAAAACAAGCAGAGCTCTCAGCTGGCTGTCCCTGGGCGCTGCTGGCCGGGCAGGGGTGACAGGCTGCGGATGCTCAGGGCGGGCGAGCGGCGTGCTGAGCGCTGCCGAGGGAGCACGAGCTCCCTGCCCAACGACAGCCTGCCAAAAAGGATGGGTAATGCTTGGGCTCTGCTTGCCTTCTCCTCAGGGAGGCCATTAGTAATCTCCTTTTCCTCTGCACAGTCACTGTTTTTCCACATAACTTGCAGTTACAGCATGTCTTTGAAACCTCTTTATCAAATTTGTAGGGGTGGGTTTGGTTTCTTTTCCCTTTTTTCAACTTTTTTTTTTCAAATTTTTTTTTTTAGGTTTTCCAAAAGCTCATGGTGGAATGGGGAAAGTAGAGGAGAAGTTGCCAGGTAGACAGATGTATGCCTTTTTCCTTTTCAAAGGAACATTCTTGCAGTGCTTGATTTTGGGGGCCTGAGCCATGATCTTCGCATAGTCAGGATTGGGAATACTATTCACTATTGGCAGGCACAACGGGTAGAATGACACAAATCCCAAAGATAATATTAAAATGCCATAAAGTTCAGTAAGATGTGCATTTCATTTTTAACTCTTCTTTAGTTTTGCTAGTGAAATGTCTTAGGGTTTTGTTGTTGGGGTTTTTTAAAAATATTTTTATGCCTAATTAATTTTAGAACAACTTTTACCTGGTCTCTTCATCACTTATTTTTTTTCTCTTCTATCACCACTTCTGTAGTCATCACTTTTCATCACTTGTAGTCATCGCAGTTTTTCCAAAACCACTACAATGCCAGTCAGACAGAAAGATAAATCACAGATTCTATTATTATTATAAAATAAATTAGATCCTTCAATAGGTCCTGATCAAGTGCAACTCTTTGTGCTCTCTTAAATTCTTGCAGTTTCAGAGAAAAAAAAAAAGGATAAGCCAGCAACCAGAAAAGATGAAAAGTATTCTACTAACAGCCTAGAGTTATTCACAGTACCTATGAAATGCATTTTATGAGGGAAATGGAAATATTGCTCTCTGTTATGCAGCTGCTGGTGAATTCTGGGGTGCTTTTGTCACCCCCAGGCCCTCTGCCACCACTCCAGCTGCTGTTGCTGCCTCCTAAACAGCGGTGCTCAGCAGGGTCTGTTTGCCACCACGTGTCACCTGAGCCCTTGCTCTGAGTTCCCTGAGGATCTGGGCTTACAGGAGAGGACCTTGGCCCTGCAGCCATAACTAAATGCTGCACAGAAAGGAGCAAAGGCACTCTTGCTTGCAGATTAATGGACTCTCTAAAGATTGGGAAAAGAACCTCAAAGCTCTGCATGTTCATGCTGGCCAGAGCATGAGGACTGGCAGGAGAAGGAGCAGGCAAGGTCCCAGGGTGGCTGCAGAGCACAGCCCAAGAGGGTCACAGTGCTGAGGCACTGCTTTGCTGAGCACTTCTCTTGCCCCTCTCCCTCATGAGAAGGGCAAGAGAGGTTTTTAGCCATGATTTTTTAGCCATGGTCTGCCAGAACATTGAATTACTTTCATATCAATGACTGCATCATTATTGATGGATCATTATCTTAAACTGTTTCTGGTGCGAAACCTGGTAGCTGTCAAACTTTCTACTTGGGGTAGATTCCCTTCTATAGCCATATGGTTAAGTTTAGTTTAAAATAAAGAAATAATTAAAAATAATTTCATAATGACATTAACTGTAGAAATAGTAAACAACCCCTAACTTAAATCCCCCCAAAATTCAGTCCTTTTGAGAAAGAGTCTTACTGTAAATTATCCTATGCATCTTTCATAAAAACACATTTCCATCATTTGAAATGCACCAATAATCTGTTTTAAAGATGTTACAAGCATGGCAGGCAGTTTCCTTGTTCCAGTGAACCACAGCCCATTTGTGCTACCACATGCTGAAAGTAGCTGCATTGTCTCTGTGTAAAAACCAAATGCTCAGGAGCTAAGGCAGCAAACTGCTTGCTTTAAACATGGGTTTTGGTTGAAATCAGAATATCAGGGTCTGACCCTAAAGCTACATGCCTGGAATGTGTGAGCATGATACATCTGTCACTTGCATCAACTTTACATCAGGGCAGGATGACCAATTTTAATTGAATACTTGTGATTTATGTCACTGGTTATGAGCTGAATATTAGGCTCAGTTCTGTGGTATACAGTGAATTTGCATGCCCTGGAGAGGTGATACAAAAAGAATATGAATGACCAGGCAGGAAAAAAAAATTTTGAGAGTTCTGTCCACATCTTTACTTATACCAACATTTTTCCTATATGAACACATGCAAAACCCCTTGTCTGGCATATTTTTAGGAGTACTCAGAATGGGAAAAGAAAATAAACTCTGTGAGAAACTGAAAATTCAGTCCTAACTTAGGCTAACTTTGGCATATTGCATGGAATTCCAGGATTTCTCTTTGCTATAATACACAGATTCCAAATATTCAAATATATACAATACATACCAATTCCAGGGTTTCTGTTTGCTGGGACATGCAGCCAGGGTTGAGCAGTAACCCCCTCACCCCCCTCACTAAGTGTGAATTCCATAATTATTGCTAACAGCTCATCAAAAGTGAGCTACATTTGATTTTAAGATCAAATGTAAGATTTTATAAGCCTACCTATGCAACCACACAGATATATGTTTCTTATGCAGAAAGCATATTAAAACTGTATTTTTTAACATATAAGCAAGACATAAGAGAATTTCTGAGTAGAAAGTAATAAAGCACAGAGATATCACTTAGGCTGACATAACACAGAGACATTTTGAAGAGAAATAAAAGGTTACATAGAAAAAGAAGATAAATAACCAGTAGATATTTAAATATTTTAAGTCTTATAATGCTTTGACAAATAATGAAAAAAGCAAGTCAAACTATTCCTGTGTAATATTAGAGTGAGTAGCTAAAGATATTCCTTAAAAATACCTTTGCTACTAAAGATACTTAATTTACTGCCCAGAATTCTGGTGACAGCATGAAGAGGGGACAGAATCATTTTTCATTACTGACTGTTAATTCAGTAAGGCATTTGTTCTGTGGGTTTTGATATATGCTAAAGGGGTAAAAAAATAAGACAGGCATTTGCATAGTGTCAGATATGCACAATACCTCCAATACTGCTTTAGCTAATGTTTAGGAAAACCCAGTAAGGTTTTCTGAAATAGGAACTGCTGAATATATACCAGTTGTTGAACAACATAAATTAGTACTCATTGCAATCCATTTCTAAAGTATAATTTTTCTGCCTGCTAAAAGTAATCTCTCAGGATTTTCTTGTAAATAGAACAAACTTTCAAGTCAGAAAGATTGGTAGAAGCCTAAAGCAAGTTTAGAGCAAGGTTTCTCTTGATTCATAGTACAAGTATACAGTTGGTATAATATTTAAGTATGACAGTGCTGTCTTTCAGTCCTGCTGCCCACAATACTTGGAAATATATCCTTTCAGAATGTGAAGGCATATCCTCTGCGAAGTACCCAGATAAATCAGTTCACCCTTGGCTGTAACTAAACGCTGTCTAGTGACTTGTGATCGACAGGGCTTTACCCTCTGACAGCCAGATTCATTGTTGGGACAGCAACCAATCGTCGGGTTTGACGACATGAGCCTAATCAAAGTTGGAGTATAAAAAGCCCCCCTTGGAATATATAAGGTACACCAGTGTGGCAAGCTTCTCTCAGATTGCATTTGCTTTCACGGATCTGTTTAGTACTGAAAGGGAAAGGGGGAGGGGGAAAAAAAAAGAAGGCAAAAGTGCTGCACTGAATGTGAGATCATGCAAAAGCTAGTGCTCTATGCTTCTATTTACCTGTTCATGCTGATTGCAGTTGATCCGGTGGCTCTTGATGACAGTAGTCAGCCCACAGAGAACGCTGAAAAGGACGGACTGTGCAATGCTTGTATGTGGAGACAGAATACAAAATCTTCCAGAATAGAAGCCATAAAAATTCAAATCCTCAGCAAACTGCGTCTGGAACAAGCTCCTAACATTAGCAGGGATGTTATTAAACAACTTTTACCCAAGGCTCCTCCACTGCAGGAACTGATTGATCAGTATGATGTGCAGAGAGATGACAGTAGCGATGGCTCTTTGGAAGATGATGACTATCATGCCACCACCGAAACGATTATCACAATGCCTACAGAGTGTAAGTAACCCTGCTTCTTTCGCCTCCCACTGCTCCTCCGAGAGAGTTGTCTCCCTGCTGTAGAGCCACACAACTCCTCCTCAGGCTCTCCCAACAGGCTGCTGGCTGAAGTCTGCTGGAGGGAGGGAGGAGAGCGTTATTTCTAAAGAATTTGAGCCAGGTTCAGATGGCCGTGTGGCAATCCTTTGTTTTACTGTTCGGTTTTCGGCTCCTTATAATGTGTGTGCCCTGTAGCACTTAGGATTTGCCCATTGCCTTAGAAAGCAAAGGGAGATTTGCAGTTCAGTCAACTTCGTTATCTGCAGCACTCGGGGCATTTCCTCTCGCAAATATAAAGTACAAGTGCAGATAATGAGAGAACTAAATTTTTGTGAGGGAGGTTTCACTGGCCAGTATTTTTAGAAGGAATAGAAATCAACAGAAATGCAGCTTAGAGCACTACACCTACCTAGCTGCAACATGCTACAGCAAGTGCAAGCAGAGAGTTAAATTCTTGCCTCTTTGCTGATCCCATAAACTAGCACCACCCACCTCAGAGTTAAAACTATATATTTAAAGCAAATATGTGTGTAACAGATTAAATGTAAAAATGTCCGTGCTATAGCAATCAGCTCATGTAATCGTGCCAAGGAAGAATGAAGGCATTTACTGAATGAGCAGATTCTGAGTTGTCTTCTGAGTGCTAAACATCTGCTATGCCTCCTATCAAGTATCTTTTGCACAGCTAATACTGTAGTATCTTATGTTCTTCATCAGCTAAAGTATTCGACTATGGCAGCTGTTTTTTTAAATAACACTTATGAATATGATGTCAAAAAGGAAAAATATGACAGGACATATAAGGCATGTTAGCAGTTACAGATATCATTGTGATATGCAGACTAGAATAATATCTGCTGCTCTCACCAGCTAAAAATGAACCCACAGATGAAAAAGTAAATTTTTCAGTGAAATTTTTCAACTTAGTAATTATTAAGATGGGCACTTAATAGCATTATTTTACTGCAGCCTTATAAGAAAGCTGAGAGCTGAGGTCTGCCTGCATTTTTATTCCAGACTTTTATGTTCAAGGGTTTATAACTATTTTTAATCAAACAGCTATACATTTACAGTGACTGAAGAAAAGTCGTTGTATTTCACTGCTCTGAGTTCATTTCCTACTTATAAAAAGCCCTTGAGCTATTTTAAATGCACTAAAGAGACAGGTATCTTAAGTGATGAGATTTATGAACGTTAAAGTCCTGCACCATTTAGGATTAGTACTACCCATTTTATCCTGGCATGGAAAGATATTGCCATGACTAGGTATGACAGCTGCATCGTAGGCTACAGGAAGGAGGAACGCAGCACTGCACGTGACTTTCCTCTAATGTTATTCAAATGAAAACAAAATGATCCTTATATTAATCCCCTCAATTATTTTCTTCCCACTGAGAAGAGAAATGTAAGTGTTTGTGCAGTTTGCCCAGGGCTGTATGGTCTGCAGCAGGCTGAGGCATTTGAGTAAATTAGAAATAGCTGGATCACCACACACATGTTGAGTCAGCTTATGCAAAGTTGCTATTCTGCATGCTTTATGAAGGTCCTCAGGAGGTGACCAGCAGAAGTGAATTGGTAGTAGGTGATAGAGTAATTTTGTTGACATCCATTAAAGTTTCTGTAGTGTGTAAACCATAGAAAATGAATTAAGTTAAATCCACTTTGTTACTGATACTCTTTATAACATATTGTAATATTTTTATACGGTCTGAAAAAAATAGTCAGGTTTATATTTGCGTTTTTTCTTGTTCCCTGTTCAGTAATCTGTTCTTTCCATTCATTTATAGCTGATTTTCTTGTACAAATGGAGGGAAAACCAAAATGTTGCTTCTTTAAGTTTAGCTCTAAAATACAATATAACAAAGTAGTAAAGGCACAATTGTGGATATACTTGAGGCAAGTCCAAAAACCTACAACGGTGTTTGTGCAGATCCTGAGACTTATTAAGCCCATGAAAGATGGCACAAGATATACTGGAATTCGATCTTTGAAACTTGACATGAACCCAGGCACCGGTATTTGGCAGAGTATTGATGTGAAGACAGTGTTGCAAAATTGGCTCAAACAGCCTGAATCCAATTTAGGCATCGAAATAAAAGCTTTTGATGAGAACGGACGGAATCTCGCTGTAACTTTCCCAGGACCGGGGGAAGATGGATTGGTAAGTCTATTTAGAAAAATCCCATTTCATTGAAAAGCATTTAAACTCTGTTTTAAAGATAAAATGGATGCATTGTTTAGGAAGTGGAAGATAAGAGTTCTGTGTACCCAATTCTTTCATTCTTTACTCTCTGATCATGCCAAAAATCAATAGCTTTCCTCTGCCTCTGTTTCCCTATCTAAAAAATTGAGAGAAATTGCAATATTTCAGAAAGACATTGCAAGGCATTAACTAGAAAAGGTTTTGGCAATTACTGATAGATAATGCTATCAAAGTAACATTGTTTTCAATTTTGAGAACAAATACTGCTTGATAAGCAACTATTTCACATAAAGAAAAGTCTTTAGAGTCTTTCACTGGTTAGGAAAGATGCCTCCAATATTGCTGAGAGGCAAGGGAGTTCCTACATACTCTCTATGCATATATTTTCTATTAACAATAAAAAATATCTCTTTATGAAGGTGAGAACAGATCTTCTTCATAATATTAAGTTCTTTACCTTTCAGTATTTGGTAGAGTGTATCATTCTACCAATTAGAAGCGTCTGAACAGAGAAATTCTGCTTGATACAATAATTGAATCATGATGATAAGAAAGTACACAAAGTAACTGGTTTGTTTCTATAAGAAGAGATGAACAAATTAAATCTGAAATGTACCTACAAGTACACCTGAAATAAACCTGAAACTACAGCATTTCCCTTGCTATTTGTTTCTGTAATCACTATTCATCTACAACCTATACAAATTTCTATACTTATCACAACCAAGTGATACCTCCTTTTGCATAAAGTATGAAGAATATTATTCTACTTCTACTTCTGTGTAGTAGATGAATCTGTTGATCATAGAAACAGAAAAATTTAGGTTGGAGAAGACCATGGTGTCCAACCATATTTATGCAACATTTAACTTCACAGCAGTATAATATAATAAGGAAAAACTCTGAGATATCTTAATTGTACATCCAATATAAATGTGGCTCTCCTGTATTTGGAACAGGCCAGCTGGATATCATGATCAGGAATGTCCTCACCACCTCCATCCATTCAAATGATGATACATACTAACCCATGGCTATCATAATTTATAAATAAACATTTCAGTGGCAGAGCAGGGTTAGAGGCACAGCCGATAATGGGAGAGGAAATCTTTCTTCCCCCCAGCTCCTCTCCAGCAGCTCCCAGTACAGGGGTGCTCCTCTCACCAAACACCTCCCTATATAATTTACCTTTGGAAATGGCACTTCCAGCAGCTCCACAGCTCACAGGGAAACAGCTTGACAGGGAAACCTGTGTAACAAAGTTAGCTGGGCTGTTATTCCTGAGAAATGGTCTCCATGGGATGGCCCCATCAGTGCTGAACCAACTCATGGGGCAGAAATCAGTGTGTGGAAGGCAGCAACTTTGGGAACTGAAGTTGCAATTGTGGGGGTTGCAATTTCCTTCTAGTCCCAGTTGGTGACTGTGGAAACACACCTTCCGTAGGAGGCATGTGGCTCAGGGATCTGCCAAAAGTACATTCCTGGCCACAGGACTCTTCCAGGAGTCAAAATATTTAGCTGCCCCTCCAAATTCATTCAGTCATAGAGTCATTCAAGTATGGCAGCAATAGAGGAGCAACTTTTGTCCTCCTTGGTCTGGACAAAAAAACTTCCCTTGATATCCAGAAAGCCTGAATTCAATATGATTTTTAGGAAGGGAATTTCAGTAGGACTCACAAAAGCTCTTATTATGGAGTTTAAAACAAAGTAAAAAAATCCACATCAAAAGTAAAAATCCAGCATCCTCCAAATTTCTGAAATGTTCTTACAGCAGTTAAACAATGTAAGCACTGAGACAGTGGTGATTTCAGGGACAAATACTCAGATATTAAAGCTCTGTATAGAGAAACAGCAGGGAAATGCAGAGAGAACTATAACAGAATTGCAGGTCAAATTTTGTTTGCAAACATCACTTCAGAATATCAATTTGATACATCTACATCTGAAATATTGTTTGCATGTTTTTAGTGAACTTGGGCTTACCTCAGAAATGATTCCAATTGCTTCTCCTCTTCTCACAGAACCCATTTTTAGAGGTCAGAGTTACAGACACACCAAAACGGTCCCGCAGAGATTTCGGTCTCGACTGTGACGAGCACTCGACAGAATCCCGATGTTGCCGCTACCCGCTGACGGTGGATTTTGAAGCTTTTGGCTGGGATTGGATTATCGCTCCTAAACGATACAAAGCCAACTACTGCTCCGGAGAATGTGAATTTGTGTTTTTACAAAAGTACCCACACACCCACCTGGTGCACCAAGCCAACCCCAGGGGCTCGGCAGGCCCTTGCTGCACGCCCACCAAGATGTCCCCCATCAACATGCTGTACTTCAACGGCAAAGAACAAATCATCTACGGCAAGATACCAGCCATGGTTGTAGATCGCTGCGGGTGCTCATGAGATCCTCACCAGATCCCACTGCTTCACACGTCATGGAAGCTACCAAATAAAAAGGAAAAAAAAAGAAAAAAAAAGAGAAAAATAGAAAAAGTTATACCCCCTCACCATTCTCTCAAACTGTGAAGTCACGTACACAAGGCATTGCCAACCTGCTGCGTGCTACCAGCAGCAGTTACAGAACATGAACTAAAGGACAATGTAATTACCTGATGGCTGCTTGTGAGCCAGCAAAAGAGAAAAGCTACAATCAAAATCACCGGATTTAATCCACAAAGTTCTTACATTATGAGGGAATCAATATTCAGTCATTTGGATGCAAATTTATATGCAGGTTTCAGTACACATTGGTAATCAAAAGCAAGCTCCTTCTCACCTGAGGACAGAAGGAGCAGGCTTTTAGGTTCCTTTCTTCACAGCTTCACTTAGTATCATATTTACAGGAACATATATACTGGTAACATATACACCACTACACAATACCACCAGAATCATCCTTAAACACTTGAATATATAGTGCAGACTTGTGAAATTTATCAGATGAAATTCCACACAAATGGACAAACCCTGAAATTAGGGATGGCATAGTGTATTTAGCGTGTTTCCATTCCTTTTTCTCATTAGTATGTTAGTAATCAATGGCAATGGTGCTACGTAAGCAGGCTGAATAAATAGAAAGATAGTTATATAAGTGAAAGAATTTAGGCTTAATAACGTATTTTCCCTATCCTCAGGTACACTATTCAACATTCTCAAGAAATAGATATTTTTTAAATGAAAAGGAATACTTTTCTAGACATAGAAAAACAGAAGGCAGCAGAGAAATCAACATTCAAATTGCAATCCCACATTTTAACCTGCCTTTGCAACATTACCGTTTGCACTATGGTAAACCAATGCAAATAGTTGGTTGCTACAGATATTGTTTAAAAACCACTTTGATATAACTGACTTGTGTAATATGTATGCATCAATATTTTGTAAATAAATGTTTATTTTTTAGTCACTGTTGGTATATGTTCATCACAAAGAAAAGAATGGCTTTAACCTGTACTTTAGTTTAATAAACAAACCCCAATATTCTCTTCATAACAAATTTTCTGGATTTTAACACAAATAATATGTAGGAACAATGCAACAAAGTAATCCATATGTTGAGAATTATTCTACATTTTATATGTTTTTTACATTGGTATGAGCCATCTAGGATAAATGATGGCTGTTGACATGTTTATAAGGTTCTTTGGGTTACTGTTTTTATGGTCATTTTGATCCACAACTGAATTTCCATATTTTGAATGTTATGTTCATAAATAATAATGATATCACAAAAGATTGCTATTAAATGCATTTTATTATATTTAAAAGTTTGCAGCAAAGTATTTTCTGTATTTGAGTAAACATAGTACATGGATTTCCACACAAATTCTGTACATTTTCCTTATAGTAAAAAATTGTTAATTGAAATTAAAAAGATCTATTTACTATAAAGTCCATTTTATTTCACATGTGAAATAGAACTGATAAACCAGGTGTTTGTTAAGACAACACAATCACTGTTAAAACATCTTCATGTTAGTATGATGCACGTTTTTGTTATATTTCAGAAATCAGTTTTGAATTTTCCTTTGTGTAAAACCACCCTAAAATTGCAAAACTGCTTGATTTTCTTCCCTTCCTCTTTTATATATTTTCTGCCTTGGTGGTAAATATTTTGTATTGATTTTTTTTTTTTTTTACTTTTTAAAAAAATTTGTATGTAAGGACATTAAAACTTAAAGTTTGAGTGATGAGGTTTGAAATTTAAAAGCAAACAGATTTTCTGCAATTTCTTTTGAATGATTAGGAGTTCTGCTAAAGCTGTGTCCAGGCATCAAGCAGATGTTCAGCTTCTCCCGATACAGTTCACCAGAGCAGGTCCCTGGGGCCCTTAAATACACTTTCAATTTAGTTTCCCACAAAACACCATCAGACTAAATAAAAAATCTGAAAGCTTTTGGAATACAGACTCTCAGTGAAGCCACAAGAATTAGAAGTACAACACAATTCCCCTCCTAAACAAAGTTATAGAATTAAGGGAGAAATCCTCTGTTTGTTAAAGTCAATGGCAAAACTTCCACTGGCTTTAACAGAGAGCAACCTTTTGCCCTCTGACTTTTAACTCTTGACATTCAGGCACCAAGCAGTGCCATCCTGCTCATGTGAACTATCAACAGCATCTCCTTGCATGAGGCTCTTAATTCATTCAGAGACTTCCAATTAACTTCCATATACCCCGTAGCTAAACATTCACTGCTTTAATTGGGCCAGTTCATATAGCAACAGCTGCAGAGATGCAGCAGCGTGGATTTTGCAGATAGGGAACAAAACATATTCCCAGTCTGCACCAAAGTCCAGTCACAACACCTGCAGGATTGTTTTTACTCATGATATGCAAATTACTCATAATGCAAATTCATTTACCTCCACACAAGTGACATCATTGGCTGCCGGGTAATAACTGTACCCTGCACAAAGGCAGTACAAAAGTGATGGAATTTTTTTATTCCTGGAATCAATTAAAGCAAAATTAAAGCAAGAAAAGAAGTAGTATGAATTCCAAAAAGCATCTACTCCAACCATCTTGATACTCAGACAAATATTATTCCATGTACATTTTATGCAGTATGTGTCTTTTATATTTTGCCAAACTTGAAATGATCGTAGAGGAATTATGGCTCCCAAGATTTAATATTGACCTTACAGATAAGTGGCTACTCATGGAACATGCTGTGGGCTTTGATCTTGTGGATTTAGCTGCTGAATAGCTCATTATTAATGTGTTTATTGACAATCAGTTTAAGATATGTCAATGATTCCTTCTGTTCGTATTGTTACATCCTTTTATTTGCAAGGCTCAGGTCTGAGACTTCAGCAGCATTTGTGAATACTTTGTACAGCTTTCAAACCTCACTGCTAAGCTGTGTATTCAGAATAATGAAAATATCCAGTGAGGGATGATGTGTCAGAAACAGCATCATTTCCTTGCCTGGCATCCTAAGAATCCCAAGAGGAATGAACCAGGTAGAGTCCATCTTTCCAAGGCAGTGTCCAAGTGCCCCAAGATGCACGTGCACACCTGCAACAGGGCAGTTCCTCATCTCTATACTGCTCCAGTTCTTCCCCTTGGCTCTGCTGCCCAGCCCTTTCTCTCCCAACATAAGCCAGTCCTTTTCCAGGGCTGTTTGACCCCAACCTCCTACCCAGCTTCAGTTACACTGTAACTCGAGTAGCAATTCCCCTCCCATTTCACACAGCATCTCCCATCCCACCCCAGACTCTTGCCCTACAGCCCCTTTTGCAGGGGGAACAGCCCTCTGCAGTACTGCCCCCTCCTGTCCCTTAAGCAGATCCAGTGCATCCTGCTCCTGCTGGAAGCTGTGGTTAGGGGAGAAACCTTCCAATGTGCTCAACAGAGCCTGTGGGGAATTTAACAGCTGAACACAGAAGTCATCACCACTGAGCGCAAATGCACTGCAACTTTTCACAGATGGGCTGTTTTGCTAAATATGAGCAGATTTCAAAGGAAGAGCTAAAGGCCAAATCCATTCATAGCTTTAGGTAGCTTTTTCCTCAATTCTGTGGAGTCTAGGTTTGGAGTTTGCGGTTGTTCATTGTGCATTTGGGGGTTTTTGAAGGTTTTTTTGTGTGGTTTCTTTTTTAATCAGACCTTAGATGCGAATGACCTATTTTGGCTGAACATCTCAAAAAATAAATCTGCTTGAGATTAGGTTTGGACAGCTCAGTCCAGGCAGATAGATTTTGTTAAAGCTGCAGTATAACAAAGCAGGTTATTATAATCTGAAGCACTGGGTGGACAAACTTAAAAACCAAAATATCCTACCTCAACTTATAAAGTTAGTACCTTTCAATAAAAATAAGTTAGGAAACAGTACATAATGGGAGGCACAAGCTAGAAGCTTTACAAACAATGCTGTACCTACGTAACTTAGCAAAATTGTCAGGAAGAACCTTAGGGATGTGTTTTAACTGACTCAAGTTAGCTCTGTGCTTCCACTTGAGCTTGCTCCCAACAATGTTAACTGCAGCAAGTAGGTATCTATACACTGATTTAACACCAGCAATGAAACCAGTAATGCAACTGCATCTGCTTTTCTGCCAAGTCTTCCCCGGCAAGAAGTAAGACTACAACTCTGGCTTGAAATGCAAGTGTAACATGTTTGAATCCATAAAAATAAAATGTTAACAACTCTGGCAACACTAAAGCTCCAATTCTCCCATTTAGTTTATAAAAGCCCTGACAAAATTCAAAGGAAAAAGTTAGGGCTGCAGGCCAATTTCTAAATTTGAAGAGGCAAGAAGTACAGCTCTGTTCACTCTTGGCCACTTCTAAATAATCTCAAAAAAAAAAAAAAAAGTGATAGTGCTAACATCTGTTGTAGTAATCTTGCGAAACAAAAAAGAAAATGGAGAAGTGCAAATGTACAGCTCATTTAACAGTGAATAACTCCAATTAATGACTAGGTGCATTGATAAATTAAACAGAATTATTCTCTTTGGTGGCTAGACAGTGAATTTGAGGAATGAAAAACTACTACAGTGACTATAAAACAAAAAACTGCCTGTTTTTATTGCTCCAGAATATAGATGAGAACAAGTAACGAAGCCCTCTGTAGATGAGGTGTCAAGATCAGCAACAAGCCTTGCAGCATTTTGGGTGTAAGTCTGGCTAATTCTCACCAGCCTTAGCCACTAAGGCTCTCTGAGGGTACAGGAAGAACTGTTCCTTTCTTTATGGACATAACTCTCCCACTATACACGCTTTCAAAGCAGTGCTTTCAGAAAATAAAAAATAGCTTAGTGTCCATGAGTCAGCTTGTGATCTTGAACTTGTGCTCTTAGAGACTCTGTGCTCTAAATCTTATTATGAATCAAAAGTAGTCAGTGGTCCTAAAAGCTGTTGCAATTTCTCCCCATAGAAATGCCTTTCACCTACAAGTCAA